ATGATTAAAAACACAGATTTTATTTGGTCCAACATTGGTCCAAAAAACAGTTTTTAGTTTATAAACCTAAATAGAATTATTAACTATTATTAACTTTTACTTTTCTTAGTTTTTTCATCATAATCTCCTGTAGATAATATATAATTTAAAGGTTGATCTAATTGGTCTAATGCTAAAATAAAATGTAGAGCCATGTAGCAGGATCTGTGCTGAATGGATGGATATAGATCTAGTGCTTCTAGACCTCACTGATCAAACACACTAACTTTAATGTTAAATGAGTTTCCATGTCTGAAGCGTCGCTGTTTTTAAATTCTGCTGCATCCGTCGGATAAACGGCCGTTAATCAGATCAAAGCATCAGAAGTTTTTCTTTTTTAAAGTTATTTTATTTCATCAGCAAACAGAAAACCTAGAAACCTTCATATAGAATAAAACATCGTCTGATTTTTACTTTCTGGGACTGATTGAATTTAAAGCGGTTAAAACAGACGAAATGACTTTAAATGCAATTTTTCATTTTTTTTTCCGTGTAGAAAACGTGTTTGATGCTAAAACTCAGCGTATATTTAGAAAAATCTATGAATCTAAAAGCAGTGGTAGAAATATGAGCCGTTATGTTTCCTGTTCAGTAATGAAGCGCTTTCTTTATAAATTTAATTATCTGATTAGAAATCAACTGATTAAACCTCAGAGCTGCAGCTTCTCTTTTTTAAAGATTAGTTTTATTAACAGAAACTTTTCCAGGTTATTTATGGCGTTTAGCAAACATTTACACTTAAACTGAAAATTGCATTTTATAAAACAAACTTATTGATGTATATATAGTGTTACAGACGCCGCATACAAGAAGGAAGATTTTAGATTTTTAACACTAAACTAAATATAACAGAAACTTTCCACCCTCCTCCTATCAGGCTACATAAGTGAGGAAGTTCTGAGTCTTTCTGCGGCGCTAATTTGAAGCCGCCGCAGAAAGACTCGCTGCACCAACGACAGCTGGGCCCCAGATTTTATCAAGGATTGCGTGTTTTTATCACATTATAAAACATCTTTTTTGGTGTGCAGTAAGATTCAAGCTCCTTGATGCATTTCTTCACTGTTTCCGCAATTAAATGAAAGTACTTGTTGTAATAACTGACATTAACGAGGCCTTTAGTTTAGTTTAATTTGCATTCCTATTACCCTTTAAAGCGTTAAAATAATGAAACATTTCCTAAATACTTTTATCGTTTTATATGAATAAGACCCCCATCAGTCACTACTGACCTCTGACCTCTGGAGGAAATGTTACCGTCTGTTTTATGCAGCCTGTAAGGAGTTTAATCTGTCCTGTTTCTGTCCCGTGTTTAACTGTTTCCATTGATGACATCATATATAGAAGAAGTTTTATTATAAATGTTTAAAAGGTTTGACCCTTCCAGGCTCCTCTCCTCTGAGGCGGCGCCATTAGAAAGCTTTCTGCTGATGCAGCATCAGTCTGATCGGTTTTATTCGATATAAAATCGAAGCGTTAAAACCTTTAAAGCAGATTGAGGCTCATTAAACCTGGACGTCTAGAAGCAGAACACGGACGTTACATACGTGTGAAACTGCCTCTGCGGTCTTCATCATTTCCTGCTCCTAGCCCCCCCCCCACCCAGAGCTGAGATAACTCTGAGTTCATCTCTTCTTCTGTGGTTTTCTTATTGGTGTGACCAGAGAGCAGAGATATGAAGGCGAGCTCCCTGGAAGCGCGATAAGCTGCTGGTGACTTCCTGTGGTCAGAGCATCAGGCAGGAAGTCTCTTCATCAAGTTCTGATCAGGAACCAGATCCTGTCACGGTCTGATCAGGAACCAGATCCTGTCACGGTCTGATCAGGAACCAGATCCTGTCACGGTGCCGTCGGTCTAACCCAGCGGACCTGGACTCGGATCGGGTCTCCCTCTAAAGTCTTGCTCAGAAACAGAACCTTTTTTGGACCCATCCAGAACCTGTTTGTGTTTCTACCTGTTCTGGTTTCGGTTTAGCTGAGGGGCTCTGAAAGTCTGCTGAGGTTTCTGTGACACACACACACACACACACACCCCGCCCACACTGAACCGCACAGCGACACACACCTGTCAGCTAATGAGCCTCGGCGCTCAGCAGCAGCTGAGGAAACCGCCGAGCTGCAGCTGAACGTTTGTTCCCTCTGACCCCCACAGAGGCGCTGAGCATCTCCGACCCGCAGCTCTGCTACATCCTGGACGGCTTCCTGGGCCTCTACGGCCTCATCATCACCGGCATGTTCATCAAGGAGAAGGTGGGTCGCTACCTTCCATGTCATCTACCTGTGGACCCCCCATTCTGGCTCCAGGTGGGGGTCCGAGAAGGACACCCTGATTGTCATTGATTTCCTGTTGATCCTGTTCTGTTGCAGTTCTTCAGAACCAAAGGAAAGGGAGGAGAGGACAACCTCTACGCTGTGAGACCCCCGTCTGATCTATGACTCTAGTGATATCTATAAGCAGAGCTTAAACCGGATCAGACCGGTTCTGAGTCGTTCTGTCAACCAGAACAACCTGCAGCAGCATGGAGGTCCATCCTCCGCAGCAACCTGTCCTTCTGGCTTATTAGGCTCCATGGTTGCATCATGACGGCGGCACTAATCCAACGTTACCGTTGTTTACTGGTTGCCATGACCACTGCGCATTTACACACCTTTCTGTGTGTAGATCAGCTATATTGTTCAAGCATGTATACAGATCCAGTACATAGATGGTTCCATTACATAGATGGTTCCAGTACATAGAGGGATCCAGTAATTAGATGGAACCAGTAGGTAGATGAATCCATTACGTAGATGGTTCCAGTATGTAGATGGATCCAGTTGATAAATTGATCCAGTTGATGGATGGATCCAGTAAATAGATGTATCCCGTTAATTCAATTCAATTCAGTTTATTTATATAGCGCCAAATTCACAACACGTCATCTCAAGGCACTTTACAATGGATGGATCCAGTTGATAGATGGATCCAGTAAATAGATGGATCCAGTTGATGGATGGATCTAGTAAATAGATTGATCCAGTAAATAGACGGATCCAGTAAATAGACGGATCCAGTTGATGGATGAATCCAGTTGATGGATGGATCCAGTTGATAGATTGATCCAGTTGATGGATGGATCCAGTATATAGATGGTTCCAGTACGTAGATGGATTCAGTAAATAGATTGATCCCATGCATAGATGGATCCAGTTGATAAATGGATCCAGTTGATAAATGGATCCAGTTGATAGATGGATCCAGTTGATAGATGGATCCAGTTGATAAATGGATCCAGTTGATAGATGGATCCAGTTGATAAAT